TAGGACAGACAGACCCTCAAGGACAGCATGAAGCATGGAAAGCCCAGAGAACATGGTGAGTAGGGGGGATACGATGCTCAGTGACAACCTTGCTCCTATATCTAGTGGCCACTGTGCACAGAGTGGCCAGGCAGCCACTGAAGCTGTTTAAGTGAACTAAAATTAAATAAAGCCACCTGCTCAGGAACTTGGTGCTCTGGACACAGTGGGAGGGAGAGAAAACAGAGCAACACACAGGAAGTCACTGTGTGCTCTTTCCTCAACACCCCTAAGGCAACCAGACTGTCAGGGCTAGAGGGAGGGGAAACCCCCAAACACACCAGAGGGTACCATGCCCACCTTCAACCACACAGTCCTCTCCTATCCTCCGAGCTGCTATTGATCCCCAAGCAGATTGACTACAGGTGGGAGGGGAAACGGCAGCTCCCAGAGCAGAGAAAAGCAGCTGAGTCACCCAACCAGGGAGAGGGGAGGAGCCCTCAGTTTCCAGAGGGCAACAAGCCCTAACCTGGGGTCAAGGGAAGAGACTAGACCAGACAGCCTCTGGAGGAGCCTTCCCAGCAGCCTTCGGGAGGGAAGATTCCAGTCTAGGGGTGTAGCTCAAGTGGTACAAATATTTGCTCAGTACCCGAGGCCATGGGTTCAACCCCAATATACTGAAAAATAAATTTACAAGGAAAAAAAGACAGGATAAACATATCCTGTCCTACCACACAGCAAGTTAAGTACAAGGACAAGAGCCCCCATGACAAACTCTTTGGGCAAATCTCTGCTCTCCGATGGGGAAGCTACATACAGTAGCAGATCCGAAGCCAACTGTACCTGTGTGACCCTCAAGACATTAAGCACCCAAGCAGAAGCAGTAGCAGCAATGGTGGTGGCCCATCTCACAGATGAACAGACCAAGTCTTAGAGAGGCTACGTAACCTCTCCAGAGCCGAACAACTTGATGCTATGGTGCTTGCTGAGCACCGAACCTTGGCCTCTGCAATCCCCAAAAGATCCCAGTGATGGAGGGCAGGGTTCCGACTTGACAGGTGAGACCACAAGTCCTGTTGGCACCAGCCTGGGCACACTGTTTTGTGGGCCATAAGACCAACTGTCTGGAAGTTTTACAATGCTATGCTCAATCAACCATGGGATCAGACAAAACAGATCAAGGCAACCTGTCTCCTGCCATGCTTCCATGATCCTTTAGGCATCTATGAACCAGGAAGCCGTGACCAGCCAGGGGCCCCTGAGCACGGCAGTGTCGGTGCCTGCAGTCAACTCCAACACAGAGGTGTCACTAAGAGGACTCTGTGGCTCACCATCGGCACACAGTCCCCCTGTGACCTTGGGCAACCGCACCCTCTGACCGGTGGCACCCTAGGGAGCAGAGGCTGAGTAAGCCTGCATGCACAGATATGTCCCCGGCCAGATTCCTGAAGGAGACACCCAGCGGATCACTCCAGGCCTCAGGGCTCCTCGCTTGCAGCTTTATGCCCTGTCAGACACCATGCTAAATAATTCAAACCCCTGTTTTCATTTCAAAATAAACACAGCACTGTCGCCAAGGCAGATGCCAAAAATTTGCATGAATGTTTGAGATAAAATGAGACTTCAAAGAAATGCCAGCCTGCCGCTGGCACCGCCCCCTCTCCCAGCCCTGGGAGAACAAGTTCCCAGTCTCAGAGCTGCCCTCCTCCCACAGCCCTGCAAAGATCAGCAGGTGCCACAACCATGAGAAAGGTCAGTACCTGCTCCCATCCTTGCAGCTGGCCAAAGCCAAGGCTATCTGCTGGGTGACCCAAGAACAACCCAGGTGTTAGCCCCAGCTCCCAAGGCCAGTCACCAAAATCTCTCAGGGCCTCTTGTGACAGCATCTATAAAAAAGGACAGTCACGTCCCTACAGCCCACCTCAGAACATTCGGTAGGGTAGATTCATGCCTGGCACTTTCTGAATGCTGGCACACACAGTAAGCACTTTCTGAATGCTGGCGCACACAGTGAGAGCTTCCTGGATGTCACCATTTTGTTACTGCAGTGCAGATCTGCCAGCTCGGAGAAGAGAATTCAGCTGGCACCCCGTGAAGTGGATTTCCGATCTGTCAGCCTCCTCCAGGGTTGCACACCTGACCCTACCCAAGCTTCTCTTACTCCCCGGGGAGGTGGGTCTTCCCAACTACCCCTCCACCTGGCTTTGTGTGGCCCCGGCTGCCTCAGACAGCTGCCTCAGCTCACAGTCACACACACCCATCCCCTGGGCACCTTAAGCAGGAATCACCAGCTCCCGCAAGCTGCCATCCTTGCAGGAAACTGTCCCCGAGGTATCACCTGGGGAGGCTGCTATATGGTATTGGAGACATGAACAGGAAACAGAGCAGGGGGGAAAAAACGCATAGAGAAGAAAAAAAAGAAAAAAGAAAAACACTTCAGCCCCTGGTGATAAGCACATGAGAAGCTCCAACTGGATCAATCTCTCCTCTAACTGGGTGGTTGGCACCGAGGTGGACCCTACTACAAACAACCCGTTCATCTCCAGCCAGGACTCTAGGGTCCCTGTGGAGAGGGGGCTCTAGAGTTGCAAGCACCTGCTGGCCCCAAACAATCCCAAATCCCGTGGTGGTGCAGCTCAATTCCTGTTTGCAGAGCTAGGAAACCTTTGGGAGGTGGCAGAAGGATTCACTGGGAGAAAAAAAGGGATTAAGCCATGAGCCCTCACCGAGGGGGGAGGGGCACGGCCCCAGGAGGGGTCTCCATCTCTCACCAGGGCCTGACAGCCACATTACCACGGACATGGCTTTATCAATAGTATTGATTCCTGGGCAAGCGTAAATAGCTCCGTGGGAAGAGGCCAGGTCTGGCCACTCACTCCCACCCCCACGTCTGGACCTGAACACCGCAGGCTCCCCTGGCACCCCAAAGCAACAGCGGTAAATTTCCAAACAGGGGCATGGCAGGAGTGCAGGAAAGCTAGGCAGTACCCGAAATGCCCTCACCAACCCCGCCACCACTCACTGCAGCTCAGCTGGCTGCCAACTCCGTGTTTGCCTGTGTTCAATGGGCTGAAGCCTGGCCCTTCTCCATCCTGGGGGCCTCCTCCATCTGACCCTCCCAGCTCCCAAAGGTTGGGCAGACACCCTGTGGGTTTCCCCAATTCGACAACAGAGGAAGGATGAGAATCCGGAAATAACAGTAGTCATAGTAACCCATCCAAGGACCCTCTCTACACAGACTCGGTTCACAGAAGCGCCCCAGACCTGGGAACCGTTTTCAACCTCACTCTGCAGAAGAGAAGCCAGAAAGCACAGAAAGGTGAAGTCATCTGCTCCCCACCCCCCTCTCATCACAATCAACCACTCAAGATTCGAACCCAGAAACTGAGCTGCAGAAACCAGTCAGAACGCTTAAGCCTCAGGCTTTCCTCAGCCTCCCTCGGTCTATTCTGCCCCCTTCTCAACAATCAAAGAAAAAAAAAAAAAAAAGGCCACCCACGAAGTCCCCAGCAGTGGCCTGAGATGCACCCCCCCCTTACACGCGCCTGGCCTCAGAGCCCCTTTCATCAAAGCAGCCGCAGGCACCAGGGCTGGATTCAAAAGTCAAGGCCACCCTAACACTGCTCACAGAGCCCCAGGGATCCTCTGCCTCCCACTCCTACCTCCCCCCACACACACATCCCTCCACCAAATCTGCAAAGAGGGAGGAAAAAAAAGCGTAATCGTAATAAAACCAGTTCTCACCAACAGGGGGGAGGAGAAGGGGAGGAAGGGAGGAGGCTGAGACAGAACGGATCCGCCCCCGCTGCCTGCACCAGACTCAGGGAGGGCGCGCGCACGCCGGCGGGTGGACCTGGCTGCGCGAATAAAGCTACAATGTAAAGATTATTCAGCCGCCGCTGCTGGGCGCCCCCAGCTCCTGGGGCCCCGGGGACCGCCCGTCTGGACGCCCGCCCCGCTCTCCTCCCGCAAGGTCGGGAGGGGAGGCCGCTTCCCACGCGCGTCTGGGGGCGCTAGGCTCCCGACTGCCCCGCTAGGCTCGGATCTGCAACTTCCCAAACTAGAGACATCCGAAGTATACGCACAGCCAGGGGGAGGGAACAGGAGGCGGCGCCTCACCAGAGGGGGGGCGCGGCCGAACACGGGGTCCTCTGGTCCCAGGATGAGCCACCCCCGGGGGTCTCAGATCCTGGCCTGCACCACCCCAGAGTTCCGCGGGCAAGCACCCCGGAGGGGGCCCCAAGTGCTTGGACTGCGCCACCACCCCTGAGAATCCGGGTCTTCAGGCTGCGCCACAACAGAGGGTCCACGGGTCCTGGCCTGCTCCAAACCGGAGTCCATCAGTCAGCCCTCAGGCTGCGCCACCACGCAGGGTCCCCGGGGCCTGGCCTTCGGCATACTGGAGAGTACCGGGGTCCTGGCCTAAACTGCCCGCAGAGACCCCGGGTCCTGATCCGAACCACCCGTGAGAATCCCCACGTCCTGGCCTTCACCTCCCTGCAGGGTTCCTGGGTCTTAGCCGGTGCCATCTCAAAAGGTTCCCGGGTCCTGGCTTGTACCACCCCCAGAGAGTCCCCAGGTCCCAGACTGCTACATCCCGGAGGGTCCCAAGTCCCGGCCTCCACATCCCTGAAGGGTTCCCCAGTCCTCGGGCTGCACCACCCTACAGGGCACCCAGGTCTTCAGGCTGCGCCACCCCGGAGGTACCTGGGTCCCAGCCTGTACCGCCTGGAGGGTCCCCAACTGTTGGCCTATTCCATCCGTAGGACCCCCCGATTCTCGGCCTGTTCCACCCGGCAGGTCCCCGAATCTTGGCCTGTTCCATCCCGCAGGGTCCCGGGTGCCAGGGTCGCGGCCTGCACCGCCCTGCAAGGTCCCCGGAGTTCCCGAAGTTCCCGCGCCCCCGCGCGCGCCCCGCCGCGCCGCCCGTCCCCTCGGGGGCGCCAACTCCGCCGCGTGCGCCGCCCGGGCCCGGAAGCCACCCGCTCCCCGCCGCCCTCCGCGCACTCGGCCCGACTCACCTCGCCGGCGGCGGCACCGGGCGCTGGCGCCGGGCTGCGGCACCGATGGGGCTCCGGGACGCGGCGGGCCCGGCTAGGAGCCTGTGGTCTCCGCCCGCCGCGCTACGACGCGGGGCCCGGGCGCGCGGGCCGCTGCGGGGCGCGCATGGCGGGCGCGGGCGGCTGGCGCGGGGACGGGGATGCGGCCCGGCCTGTGCTGCCCGCGGCTCCGCTCCTGGCGGCTAAGGGGCGGGGCTAGGGGCGGGGTCTAGTGGAGGGCCGCCCCGGCCGCCTTAAAGGGCCCGCGTGCACGCCTTCCAGGCCTGCGCACGCCGAGCTGCGTTTCTCGCCGCCGGAGGAAGGCGGAGCAAGTGCTTCCCCGCCCCCTCCACCTCCTCCTCCTCCGCGAACCCCAGAGACTTCACGGGAATCGCGTTTCAGCTATTAAATTATAACTCAGGAGTGTCCAGGGGATGCGGAGACGACGCCCCGGGGAGGGCCACCCACGGAGCCCTCAGAGACGCGCGCAGATGCTCAGCGACGCGCTGGGCCTCGCCTGGGAGATTAGCCCTTGGGGAAAGCTCCGCGGACCTCAGGCAGTGGCGAACAGGTTCAGTGACTCGAATATGACATCTAGAGAGGCCCCTGCAAGTTCCTAGCACGCGGGTCGCGGTGTGCTGTCCTGTCACCCGGGCTCCATATGGCCCAGACCGAACACCCATGGGGTGCCTAGGCTGCACACCGAGCCTGTGGCCCACTCTTGGACACACGACTAGGACCATTCCGACCCAGTAGGAGCCTGCTTACTAGCAGCAGGGGCTCATTGACACACCCCATAGTGGGCCCTCTCAGCCTTAGATCTTAACAGCAGCCAGGCAAGACAGCCCAGCCCTGCAGCCGCCTCCTCCCACTGCTTCTGCTTTCCCTAGACGCGTTGGAGAGTTTGAATTTTTTTTTTTTTTCAATTTAGCTTTCCTTTTTTGGAGTGAAGTCTCAGCAGATTCGGTTCTGCCGACAAGAGAGCCCCTAGGGAGCAGGGGAATGGCTGCGGCAGGAGTGCGGTTGCCAGGGCAAGGGCCTCTTCCTCAGGGGTGCTGGGGTTCCTGCACCCGGGCAGCGGGTTCCCTCTCCACCCCTGAGCCCGAGGAGGGGCGAGGGGCAGATGGTGGAGGGGGAACCGAGTCTAAGAGTTGAAAAAAGGAAGTGTGCCAGTGGGCGGGTGCCCTTTGGAACAGGAGTCATAGGTCAGGGCACACACCCATCACGTTGCACCCATTTGCCCATGGTGCCCAGCTGACAATGTAAAGCCCAAACCCAGACCTGCAGAAGGCCGTCTGGATCTGCCTGGGGAAGGGAAGAGACAAGGCTACCCTTCCTCTCTGGCCTGGTCTCTTGGAGTCATTCAGGGACATTCCCTCATTTGCATCAGCTCAGATTTCTCTCTTACGGAGGAAGAGTTTGGGGTGTCTTCCGACTCCCCCCAGCTCTTGCCAACCTCAGGCACTGAAGAGGGTGGGGGAGTGTCAGGTATACTTTCAGGCCCAGCGCATGGAACCTCTCTACCCCCACCCCTGCGGCTTCCCCACCCAAGTCTCTGTAAGGCAGAGGCATGGAGGGCTGAGGAAAGTGCCCTGAAGTGGACGGGCTCGCTTCCTTCCCACAGTCTCCTGCTATAAACTATGGAGCCCTGTCCTCTGAGCCACAGGGAGGAACAGACACTCACTCCCCACAGTGACTCTGGTGCTTCATCCCAAAGCCCTGAGTTTAATGTTGATTCCATATGACCCAATAGTAGGCCCAGGCCTGAGAAATGAATCTGCCTGCCCTAATCCCCCAGCCACAAATTCCTAATGCTCCCACACAGGCTGTAGACATGCTGGCAGCAGAACCACCCCATCCCCACATACTGGCACTTTGAGAGCTGCTTCCCTCATAGCACCACACCCTGCTTGCTACTGGATTCTTGGGGGTGGGCAGGTGAACAGCCTTGGGGATCTAAGGACAGTTGATAGGAAGGCAGCTTTGAGTCACTGCTGAGAAGAGCCTGAATTCCAGAAGTGCCTCAAGGATATTCTGTAGCCAGCCTGGTAGCATGGGCCTTGGCTGGCTGCCGCTCAGTTGGGTAGAGCACTTGCCTAAAAGTGGAGGCAGGAGGATCAGGAGTTCAAGGTCCTCCTCAACCAAATGTCGTTGGGGTTCAAGCTCAGCTTGGAGCCTTGAAACCATGAGGCCCTGTCTCGAAGATAAATTACAAAGTAAGGCCTGGAGATATGACTCAGTGGTTAAGAGCACTGGCTGCTCCTTTAGAGGACCCGAATTCAATTCCCAGCACCCACATGGCAGCTCACAACCATCTGTAACTTCAGTTCCAAGGGATCTGATACCCTCAACACGGACTTATATGCAGGCAAAACACCAGGGCATGTAAAATTAAATAAATCTTAAAAAAGAAAAAGAGTAACTGAGTCCAAGTAGGCACCTGACCTGGTAATACACCTGTCACCCCAACTACTTGGGGGTGCTGAGGCAGGAGGAGCAGGCAGCCTGTGCTGCAGAGTAAATTCAAGGTCAATCTGGGAAACTTCGAGAGACCCTGTCTTCAGGTGCAACTCAGTAGCAGAGTGCTTGTAGCTCAGTGGTAGAATGATTTTAACTCAGTGGTAGAGTGCGTGTAGCTCAGTGATTGAGTGCTTGCAGCATGTGTTAGGTCAACACCCAACATAGTAACAACAATTTAATTTTAAATAAAAAAAATTCATTTCTACCCTTTAATCATTCAGTCATTTCTCCCTAAGTGCTTGGCAAATTAGTGGAGGTCATTTGCCCATGGCAGTCCCTCAGCCCCACCCTCCGGTATCATCTCCTTCAAAAGCCCTTCACTGACCTTCTGTCTAAAAGCAATCCCCGAGTGCTTTCCCGTTCAACACCTGTTCCTTCTCATTTGTCACCACCTGAGGTTCCCGTGAGCGTTTGTCGCTTAGATATTGTCAGTGCAGACCATACTGTACCTGCTTAGCTCACTCTGCATTCAGGGCATGTACCAGACACTCAACAAAGACGGGCTGAGAGCCCTGCTGGATGGCCGACCTGTCACCCCACCACTCTGGAAGCTGAGGCTGGGAAGATGTGGAGTCAAGGCTAGTCTAGGACACACAAGAGAAGCCCTGCCCTAAAGAAGAAAGTTCAAGGGAAGGGACAAACACACGAAGAATGAATAATAAGAGAGATGGCTCAGTGGTTAAGGGCACTGACTGCTCTTCCAGAGGTCATGGGTTCAAATCCCAGCACCCACATGGCAGCTCACAACTCTCACTCTCACAAAAACATACACGGAGAGCAAGAGGTATCTGGCGCTCAAGCGCCCTGGAAATCCAGAAGATAAAAACTTGAGTTTGTCTCTCTGGCGTATTTCAGGGTCATCTCAACTTCCCGACAGTAGTAGCTGAAGTCCCCTCAGGCAATCGCCTGTCCCTCCAGCGATCCACTCAAGTTAACAGTTCTCGGCAGCCTAGCCTTCAAATTAAAGTTCTTGTTCTCTGGGGCAAATCTGGAGAAGCCAGCATGACAGGCTCAGAATTCACCTGAAAAACAAGGCCACCCCAAGGACCAGAGCTGGACATCACAGCGCATGCAAAGGGCCTGTGCGGCACCGCCGTCTATAATGAAAGATGCCGAGAGGCCTGGGGCCAGGTCTCGCACTCACACAGGACCGAGTCTGCAGAAAATTCCAACAGAGCTAGCAAGCTGGAAGTCCTCCCGCCTGATAGGATCAGCCAATTCCAGTCTAGAGGGCAAACAAATTCCAGAAGCCTGTGGACTGCCTCACGCCTGTCCCCCAGCCTCTGGGCACCCTCCTTCGTATCACAAGTTAAGCAAGACAGATACTAAATGACTCCGGGGTGGGGAGAGACAGACTGTGCTGTGCACCTGCCCACCCCAAGCCCCACCCCCAAAGCACAGGCATCATCCAATGGGAAGGGAAGTCATGGTTTTCATCTTGATGGTACAGAGTAGGTACTTGCTGTGTCCAGGAGACTGTGGAAGGGGAGACCAAGTGGGGGGGGGGGGGGCTCACAGCCACAGAATGACCCATCCTTCCGCCCTCACAGCTGTGTGAGAGCATCTCCGAGGATGTGGTTTGGAGCCCCCAGCCTTCCACCACCAACCCCCTTCACCACAAGAAACTGCAGAGTCACCCGCTTCCGCCTCTGCCTGGACTTTTATTTGTGGCACCTGCCAACCTTTCAGAAGGAGCTGAGCAGGGAACCACGAGGATCACAGTGCCGTGGTCCTGGCGGTCAGTGGCCAGAGGCCAGGACACCCAGGGGCTGTCTCAGCTGCTGGCTCCTGGAACAGCAGGAGCCTGGCTCCATGCCAGGTCTCTGAGGTCTAACGCAGAAGCCCCGTGCAGAGCATGCACAGTCAGGGCTGGATAATCCCGTCTGGATGTGCTTGTCTATGCATGGACACTTCTGGAAGAATGTTCCCTAGCCCAAGGCACCTGCTATGGGCTGTGCCCTTGCTGGGAAGATGAGCAAGTGCTTTTTTGTGTTCTTCTGAACCCAGGCAGGACTTTAAAATGCAATAGGCAAACAGCCTTCCAAGCACATACATAAATATAAGTAAATATACCAGAAGTCAGATTAGGCGGTAGGTGCTCTGAGAAAACTGAAGGGGGGAAAATAGAATCAAGGAGGCAGGGCAGAGAGGTGAAGGATGGGAGGGCAAGGAAGGACTAGCGCATGTGGCCAAAAGCCAAAGAGGAACAGGCTGCAGGGGCTGCAGTGAGAGGCCCGGGGGTAGCCTAGGAACAACAGAGAGGCTGTGGATGAAGTAGGGGTGGAGAATCAACAAAAGGTCACAGAAGAAACTGATTCCAGGACATCTGCAAGGACCATGGGCAGAAGCTCTGTTCATGTGGGTCCCAGAACATGGGGGCCTGGGGACGGGGCAGCAGAGAGGGGGTAGAAATAGGGATTAGGGAAAGACAAGAACAGAGAAGGGTGTGGGGCCTGGGAACAGGGCTGGAGGGAGGGAGAGTTTGGCTTCCGCTGTATCCCATGTGGAATTTTTGACGATGGGTCATGAAAATTCCTATTTTTCTCCCAGCGTGGACATCTGGTTTTGAGCACACTGTGTGAATTTGCTTGGGTCTGGAGCGGCTGCTTGAGGCAGGCTTTGCTTGCATCTTTGTACCATATTCCCTGCTTCTCAGCCTCCTGGAGAAT